TCTCTCTTTCCTTATTTCTCTCTTTTAAATTCTGTCTGACAACATCCCTAATTGACATTATAGATGGTACAAAATGCCAGTGCTCAGCACCAATAACACATAATAATAAATAAACCCCATACGTAGTGATGTTGATATGAGATGGAGTGAGAGACAACCCAGGCAAAAACATAGTTTTTCATGCACTGGTCAAATTCTTAGATGGTTGGCTATTTTGCTTCCATAACATGTCTTCTTTCAGTCTAGTGGAAAGAAAACATTTCAAATATACATTTTGGTGTTTATTTTACTGCTTCGTTTTTTTGCGTCTGTAGATTTCTAATAAATTCAAAACAGTTACCATTAGATAAAGCATCATTTGCATATTTAACATGAAATTTCAGAAAATGTTGGAAGTTTTGTGCCTGGTCATCTATCACTTAAAGATTTTGACCTTGTAGTGCTTTGCCAAATGTAATCTCTGAGCTAGAAATATCTTCAGTTGCACTCACATACATCAAACTTTACAGTTCAAATTTTTTTTGTCTGTTCACAGTATGTTCTGATTTATTGAGTGATATAAATGGATATCCAAAATCAGTCAGTAAAAACATTTGACTCAAACTTGTCAACAAAATGAAACAAAAATATGAAACTGCAATATTTGCATACTTAAACAGATAACTTAAAAAAAAAAATTGTAATACACAAATGAATTAATGTAAGTAATCAACTGGGAAAGTTTCATGGCGATATTTGATAGTTCAAACCCTATTTACGTGTAGGTGTTTCCCTTTAATTGGTATCTATAATCTTTGCAACTAGCCCGAGGACACGCTATGAATCCGTGTGTCAGGAGTTACAATTTCAATCACCTTTTACTTGTTTTTCCCTTCAGATGTAGCCTTGTGATAGTTTTTATTTTTGAATGATATGAATTACCATTTTTTTATACATTGGCTCCCTGAAGTAATTTGCTACCACTTTACCCAGGACTGAAAAATACATTTCAAGTGGCATCAGTAATCTGCAATTGCTCGAACTAGAATGTCCTCCTCTCGGTGTCAGGTTGGGTTTTTGAAGAATTCCTGCAGTCTGCATTTCACTTCCATGTTTAAATTCATCACTCTCTGTGCATTGAGAAGAATTCCCACCAGAATCCACGCCAGATTTCCATTTCACAAAAAAACAAACTCTAGTGGGGTTTAGAATCTCTTCCTTTTTACGTCCACATTTTGAGACATACCTTCAAAATTCAGCTTATAATTGCAACATTTTGCTTGGGATTTGGTTGTAAACGTAGACGGAGTCAACTGCTGCTGCTGCTGCTGTAGGCTTCCAGTGGAGTGGAGAGTGCCGTGTTGAGCTCCTACTCTGGGGACTGTGAAACTGTAATTAAAAAGCCTGGTCTAATCCCTCATCAGGGAGGGCCCATTCCCCTCCAGCCTGTTTGCTGCGAGGGGATTGGCCACACACACTCACTCACACCCACATGATTTTATGCATTCATACGCAGACCTCCTTAGCGATAACACACGCAAGCATGTGCAGTAAAACATCACACTAATCAAGGGCTTTGCTGCTGAGGAAGTGAAGAGGAAGGACGCTCCCTGAAAGAGGCCGCCACCCTGCCGGGAGGAAGGGATCGGGTGCTCTCTGGAAGTCACTTTGAGGAGAAAAGCAGATTCAAGTTCAGGGTGAACTTCTGGAAGCCAACGTCTCCGTGGCGGCAAATGGATCCAGACCCAGCCGAGAGTTTACCCAAAGAAACCCCTCCCCTCATCTTCCTCACTTTCCTTCCGTATTGTTGTCCTCTCTCTAGCATACTTTCATGTGTTGTTTTTCACCCTCTCTCCTTTTCTATCCCTCCCGTCATCTCCTAGCAACTCACAGTTTTATTTATGTGCTTATCTGTTCTTTTGAACCAAAGTCTTGCCATACCGTCTAATGCTAACACATTCCTTTCCCTTGATGGTTATCCCCCATCTCACTGCTGGAAGATGAAACATGGAAGCTTCTCCCATCTTCCTGATTTGCAGGCAAAAAAGTTTTTTTCTGGTGGTAAACCTGTCTCTAGCTGTTTAAATGTCAGCAATATTACTAGTTAGAATACTGAGAAAGATACAAAAAAGTTGGCACTAAGATGGAGATACTGCATTTGAAGTATTTGTCAGCGAAAAGAGGCTCAGTTAATGTAGGGTTTAATATGTTTTTAATATACAATTGGAGAACAACCACACGCGGCCTTTCAATAGCAGACTAACCACTGGTTCTATTTGCATTTTCAATCAAAGTGAATTAGCCAAGTCCCTGAATGAGTCTGAGCTCAATAACATCCACGTCCTTCCTTCATTCCCAGCATGCCATGCTTTACTGCTGTCTTCCTGCTGGCACACCAGTCACGTTGGAGGAAGAGCCCAGTTGGGCCAATGAAATCATCTTTCCTCCTTTCCTCTGGATATGAGCTAATGAGACTTGAGACAGACCACACACACAAACAAATAAAATCACTTTCACTACTCTGCACACACTGGGGAGTCAGCTGTGAGTAGGTAGGAGTCAGTTGATCAGGTACAGCTGTTGTGATAAATGAGGTGCCACTGTTGAATAGAACAGAATAAAGAACAGACACGTTTTCCACTCTCCTCCCTCAGATTGCATTCAGCTGCTGTACATGTACCGTAAAAGTCTGTGGCACTGTGTCTTTTTTGAGCCATGTGAAATACAGAGATCAAACAACCGATAATGAAATCTAATGCGGTTTACTGATGGCTCTACCCACCCCCCCGGCCCACCAACTCTAGGTGACCAAAGTGGTCACAACCATCACCCGCTGCACCTACCACCCAGTGATGGTGACTGACAACTTGTTAGTGGAGTCTAGGCCTGCCAGCCGGACCCCCACCCCGGTCTCCATCTCGACCCCCAGTCCGTTGGAGATAGAAGCAGTAAATGATGCTGAACCCTGTGTGATGTTTGCTGTTTTCCCCCCTCCCCCGCCTGTCTCCCTGTTCTTTTAACATCATGTTTTAAAACGGCCCGCATTTAGTCGCTTCTGGCATTGCAGCGAAACTAACTATTTCTACTTCGGCCATCCTCGCAAATCCTCTTTTAGGTGAGCTGAAAATGAATCACGGACGTCACTTAAATATCTGAGTTACCACCTCATCCTCTCTCAGAAACTCCCGGGCCATCCCGACAATTTAAACTCTCAGTAAAGTGAATGCCGCAGAGGTTGTGAAACTTCTTACAGAACTGTAAAGTGCACAGTTTGACACTGGCTGCCTTTCCCTCCATTTTTAACAGTTTGGTAAATGGTTAAGTCCTTTGTCTAACTGTGTGTGGTTGTTTCAACTTTTCAGTATGGCATTGCCTTTCCATGCATGCACATGTACAAATCTGTAGTATTTCTACATCTGCACATGCTCACAAATACTCACTCTCTCCCACCATTTTAGCAAGTCTCTTTTAGCCCTGTTTACCCCACGCCAGCATATTTCAAACGCCCCTTTTGAAATGCAGGTCCCTCGCCTCCCCTCGCTTCCCCTTAACGCCTTGTGAACTTGAGCGTACATCAAAGAGTGTTAGAAAACTGTGTGATGGCTCCCTTTGCAGCACTTGCAAATCGCCTAAAAAGCTGTGTTGGTACAAGGCTGCTGGGCATGTCAAGGCTGGGAAGCGGCAGCATTCACCGTGCTCTCCTCTCAGCTCTGACAGAATAGGACAGAATAAAATATGTTGATAAATAACTTGTTATAAAATTACCAGATCTGTAGAAAAGCATTCTGACTAAAAGGCTTAGAATTTTATGTGAAGCTATATCTCTCTGGAAAATCACTAAAGCTTACCAAAAAGTTTCATAATGTTATTTAATAAATTATATATACATTAGGCCTATGTAATCGCTTCATGCATGGAATGGATGCATGGAATCAGCCCCTGTAGTCCCCTTGTGGCCCAGAGTTAGCATTTGGACCCATGCTATAGACACCAGAACAGCCAGTTTGGGTTCTTAACGCTGTGAATCAAGAGGATGAAAGCGAGATTGTTATTTGACAGATAGACTTAAACTTTATTCATTCCAGGGTCATACATGTGCTGTAGCTAATGTGAATCAAGCAAATGAGCTCTTTATTTGTAACTAGCGCAAAGCCAAGGCAGAACGGCATCAGAAACAAACGTAAATGACTCTGTAATTACTCTGAACATGGAAATGAACCTTGGCGTTCCTGAAATAGGCTTTGTTATGGAGCAAACAATTGGGGTGTAGGCCACTGAAGATTTCTACTTGTTTGAAGCAAGTTAATGAGGACGCCGTGTCGAACAACAGATAATGCTGTTTGGGCTTTTGCACCTCTGTAGCGAGGGTTAATGCTTCATTGTGGTTCCTTGATATTGTTACATGCCTTGGCGCGCTCCTGATTATAATCTAAATCATAGCATTGATGGGACAATAAAGAAAGCATATTACAATTAAGAGGGCTGGTGTCGAAAATGAAACCCATCAGATTTCTTTTCTTCATTTCCCCGAGAGAATCTGAACGGCAGTCTTACGTCAAGTGGGAACGAACTGCGACACCTTGTCAGGCACGAATTGCATCAGACCTGCACCCCTGCGGATGACGATTAATTTTCATCAACCTCATTAATTTTGAAGATGAATTTATAGCCGTGGACAAAATAGCCAATTATCGTCCACGGCAGAATTCACTGGGCAGCAAATTGGTTTCTGTATGGGCGGAGAGCCCAGGGAGTGTGGAGTAGCTGTCTGCAATTCTCCAGTCAGACAGCCTCAGAGACAGCAGAGGAAGTGGAGTTATTTAGCTATAGGAAGAAGTGAGCGATAGATGCATGCAGGTCTGGTTGTCACAGAGTGTGATGCTACCCTGTTCCCTTGGGGACGCAAAGGATTCAAGGTCCAGTAGAGCTGTAGCACTTCAAGATGACTCTGTTACAGCACCATCCAGGAGAGACAGCCACTGTGTATATACGGTATTTTTTGCCTACAGATTTTTTTTTTCACTTCATAATTCAAGGCAACACAAATTGATGACACCGGCCGAATAACTTTCAATTTTCAATTTGATGAACATTAAATTAGTCCCAATCAACTTCAGCATTAAAAAAAAACGATCTGCTTCACAAACCCATTATTTTATGAAAAATCACTTTATGACATTTTAATGCAGCACAATGAAAAATGTAGTCACACCACTTCCAAAGTTTAATTGAGTTAACACAAATTGAGTTTTCCTCAGGTTTGAAATGCATGTTTTAATGTTTACAACAAGAATCTAAATTTGCATTTACTTTCCATTTATCAAGTTTATTTGCCTCTTTCTACCACAGTGTCCTAATTGAATAGCTGGAGAGGCCAGTCTTTGTTTAGTGGAGAGCATGGTTTGCTGCATACCTGCAGCCTGAATTTAACATCACTCTGTCACGCTGATGCCACCCTGTCTGACGGGTGTATCTGTTCCCCTCTAACAGGTGACTAAGATGGTGAAGACGGTGACCACGCGGACGGTGCGCCAGGTGCCCCTGGGGCCCGACGGCTTGCCCCTGCCTGAAGGCTCGTCCCCACTGGGCAGCTACACCGACTCCATCGACCGGCGCTACATGAAGAATGGAGGGGACCGCTTCATCACCCCTCAAGCGACCTCCACTCTGACGCGCTCCTACAACAACTCCTACAACGATTCATATGGAGAAACGCCCGAGAGCCAGTACGTCCGCCACTACGGCCTGCACGATGGCTACGCCGATTTAACTGAGAACTACGGCAGCCTGTCACGGGGTGTCAACTTCCGGCCGCCGCGCTACCCCTACCTGCCCAACAGCTACCGGCCGGAGAACAGCTACACGCTGCCTATTCGCAAGGATGACTACGGCCATGTGGCCCAGCCCCAGGTGCCCATGGGTAGCAGCACTGTGGATCTGAACCGCTCGCAGCCAGAGCGCTTCCAGGCCGAGCCATATGGCCTGGAGGATGATCGCCGCAGCTTGGGCCCTGAAGAGGAGGAGCCATACGAGCTGGAGCCCGACTATTCCACCGCCAACCGCCGCACCCTGCAGGGGGCCAACCGGGGTCGCACCCACCGGGAACCCCTTCGTGATATGCCCCGAGTCAGGTGAGGATAAATGCAAAAGCACTTGAGAGAGCAAAGGTTTGCTTTTAAACAGGAAACAGATATTACACAGATGAATCTGCATAAAAGTTATTTTTACACACCAGTATAAACGTATACTTAAAAACCTGAGAGATTGTGTCGAAGGATTCAGGCTACTGGCAGGAGATAATGGTTTTGTGAAGATGTGCAAGTTCCTACAGTGTGCTTGTTATTCTTTCTAAGTTGGACAGTGAGTTCTTATGCACAAGCGCAGGCTTTGCCTTGATATGAGAGGAGATCATCTTGTTAAGATTAGAGAGAATAAAGAATGCTTGTCTTGCTCTCGCCATGAAATAGACTACGCTACACTGAGCGCAAGTAAACAGATGTCTCGTCTCCTTGAGCAACTTGCTTGAGAAAGGAAGCAAGGAAAAACCAGTCTTTGATTGCCATTTTCCTATAAAAGGATAGTGAATAAGTGTTTGTGTCAGAGGTAAAGAGGCGAATGATTTGAGACGTGAGGAGGGAAGGAAGGGAGGATAGAGGGGATGGAGGGAGAGTGGGAGAGGATGGGAGGCTTTTGTCAGTCATCTCTCAAAGCCTTTTTTGTGCAACCTTTGTTGAGATGAGTATAACCCCTGGCTCCAGCCGACAGGAAAGAAAAGCATGTTCGCCTCCAACAATAATTGTCTCTTAACAGCTTCCAATCATTTCATTGCTGCCCAAAGGGAGGCCTGGGAAAAATGTCCACCCTGAAGTAAATTGAAGCAGAGATTTGAAGTTGATAAGTGCGTTTGAAAGCAGAAGGATGTTTTTAAAGGTGCAAAATCCGAGATTGGGAGCATCTCAGTGGCACAACATGTCGAGTGCTGACAGAGCTAACAGTGTTTACCTGAGGGGGAACCGGAGGGTGGGTACCACGCTTCTGCAGCAACGCTGTCGGTTGGGATGACGTTTTGAGCTGTAATTGCTGTACAGCTTACACGTGGGGCCCGCTCACATTGACTCACGTGCAATAAAAGCATGCATGGCTGGCCCGGCTATGTCAACAAAATAAGGAGAAGCTCGAATAACAACACACAGAATGTTAAATATAGCTGTTTAAGTTATCGGCGCGTTTCTGTCAATCTTGGTGCAAAATGTGTGAGCCTGAAGCCAAATGTAAAGGAATAGAACAGAGGGGGTCTAGAGGCAGGAACGAGCAAGACAGGAAATATTGTGTGTGTATGTGTGTGTGTGTGTGTGTGTGTGTGTGTGTGTGTGTGCTTTTTGTCACGGTCAAAGGTGACAGTCTATCCTGGCCTTCCGGCTTCATGACAGCGTGTAAGTTTAGCTTTTTGACCCTTCTTAATTCAGGTTATGTACAGTCATGCGTTCACAGTAAACTGGGTTTAAAGGCCCCTGGATTGAGGTGCATGTGGAGAAATGCAGATGCCTAATCTGATTCTGTCTCTACACTATTTTTGACTTGTCTCTGACACTTACACACACACAGTACATTTCTCTCTCTCTCTCTCTCTCTCTCTCTCTCTCTCACACACTCACACTCACACACACTCGATAACAATCCTCATTTTCTGAAAATGAGTCACTCCCCCATCCGCCTAGTGAGAGGCGCTTGCTGTGACAGGCAATTTGTAGCCTGCCTTACATGTGTCACAACACAGCCCCACATACACCCCTTCACACACACACACACACATAGACATGCACACACTGACAGCCGCTAACATGAATGCATAAACACAAACACATATGTTTGAAGCCACTCTTGACTGGCTGCTCAGCTGCCTTTCTAATTACAGCAGAAAATATATACCAAATATTTCCTCCTATCTCCTCTCCTCCTGCACTCAAATCAGTTGATATCAAAACATCAGCAGAATGTAAGCATTTTTTCGTCTGACAATCAGCCCTCCCAGAGTGCCCGGGCTCTCCTGTGCACTCACACTGCAATTACTATACTTCCAAGAAGGGAGCAGCGACTCCAAAGTGCTGTAATGAATCTGGGAATTAAAGCGGTTTAATTACAGCTTATCATTGCATTGCAAGTCTTCAATTATGCTCCAACAAAGAATGTAGACGTTTAGTGCTAAAACGGCTTCCTGCATCGGCGGCAAACACTCGTTTTGTCACCGCCGTCGTGTGTCAGGAACGATGATGTGTCATTTTGCGATGGACTTCTTTGGATGTGTGAGCGTGCCTCATTCTTGGATTTTAGTGTCAACATAGCTAATGTACACTAATGTCTAGCTCTAATGCAGAGGCTTCCATACAGGTCACCAGGGGTCACCGCATGGTTTCATCAGTATGAAAATGATGTCATACGGTTTTTGGAAAGTGGTACTCAAGGCTCTGCACCAAACACCAAATGAGAATATCTTGTGGTCACAATTTCTGAATATATGTTCTGATGTCTTTGTCATAAATCTAAATGCAGATTAAAGTCTATTTCAATGTCACTTAGATCGTTTCTTCTTGCTGGACCTGTTTCGACATGCTGCAGAGCATGATAGTATGTTTTAATGCAGCACGCCTTGCATTATAATAATACTGCATAATAATGCAGTATGGAGGCATTTATTATGTATCTCAGGTTTTTCCTTTATCGCTGTCTGTAATAGGGTAGTGCAAATGAAAAAAACACAGTGTTACTACATCAGAGGTAAGAGGTGGTAGTGTTTCATGAGTATCTCTTTACACTGTGTTACCAGACAAACACTATTTCTTTCATCTGTTGATTATAAACACTCGATAAAGATGGCAGGATTTGATTAAAAAACATTTGTCAAGGCACTCAAAGTAGATATTTGTCCTTCTTTTCTATTTAGAAAGAAGTATCCATTAAACTGCAATGGAATGCATGTTTATATGATGTAGACTGCTTTTTTAAAAATCTGCATGTCTTGGATTGGTCTTTTACAGAACTTTTTCAGTGGTCAGCATTCATTTTTCCTGCCATAAAACCACTCAAAAAGGTTATTATTTACCTCAACAGTATATAAGTGCCTTGCTTAAAGGCAGCAGGAATGAAGCTTGTAATGAACATGTCTGTTACCTCCCTCTCTCTCTCTCTCCTGTCCTTCCCACTGCCTGGATGTGAGTGCATCTTACTCCATTTCCCCCGATCCCAACCCGTCCTTTATGTGTGTGTGTGTCCATGAGAACTTTCGTGTGTGTGTGTGTGTGTCCTAATGCCAGCGTGATTAATAGCTGCTTTTGAACTCTGCCAGACTACAGCGGCGTCTTTAAGCCAATCTCTAATGGCTCATCTCTCCTTGGGCGACCTGTTCTGCTGCACTTGCCCACCTGCATTCAGGGGTCACTACACACACACACACACACACACAAACACATGCACACACAGACATATAAACACACACATAAGTACTCACATTTACTCATCCCTTAATTGAGGGGGGGGGGGGGGTCTCATTCTAATTCATTGGTGTCTTGTGGAAGTGATCCGGCCCCGCTGTTCATATCCAATCCTGTCAAGAGACTTTCACTGGGAGCCATGTAGTCCGTTTATTATAATACTTCCCCTGTGTGATGTTTGAGGTTCCTCAGAATCATCTCCTAAATTACTAAATTATAGAAGAAACTTCTCCTCTAATTGGATGTAAACAAACAGTGGATAATGTGGATAATGCCATCGAAAGAGCCCGAGAAATTAGAAAGTGGCAAGACATAAACTCTCAAGCTTTGCTGTTTATAACCTCTCTTCTCTCTTCTCTGTCCTGCAAAGGCTCTTGTGCATCATAAAAAAAAATATTGCCAATAATTCAAAATGAACAAGATGCCTGGCAGGAGTAGTCAGCCATAAACGCCACAGAAATGTAATGTGTACATATGAGATGCAAACATCTTCTTGCGAGCGTCTAATCCTCTTCAGTTGGCCTCCTTTCATGGGCCTGCAGCAGAAGAGGGTCAGGCACAGCCGCGATTAAAGGATGATGAAAATAATTGACAGAAGATGAAGGGAAGGAAGAATAGCGAGGATGTGACAAAGTCCGGATAAATAAAACGAGTGCTGAAGTTTGCCGACGCGCACGCATCTCGTGTCTACTGTATCTGTTTATCTTTTGTTCTACTCTTTGTGTCTTTGAGCAAAACAAGCGCACACAGATGCACAGAAATAGCCCCGGACATTTAGCAGCTCGATTAACACGAGGAGAGTGATCTGCCGTAATCACGCTCGGCGCATGCCGTCTGCAGACGGAGAGCCCTTTCACATCCTGTGAATACACCCCTCCCTGTACACACAATGGCGGCAATTTAAATGCAAATCCTGACATTCCCATCACTCAGCTGCACGACAAAAGGCTTTACCAAAAGCCCCGGCCGCATCGGTTCAGATCTAAATGAGCCACGATCTGCACAACTGTACATCTCATCTGTGTGTTGAAGTGTGTCTGTGAGAGAAAGTGTGCGAGGAACATAGTGTGATAGATAATGAGAGAGAAAGTCAAAGAGAGTGAGCGATACCGTGCACGAGATAGATGCTGGTTATGTATTCAGCTCTATTCGAAGGAGATGATGCCGAGATTGTGTACTGCCCTCTCTTTAGGAGGGTTATTCCTGCCTCGTTCCCTTTGTCATGTCCAATATCTCGCAGCTATCGAAGAGCTGGTTGATGGCCTGCGAGTGTGGCAGTGTGTGTTTGTATCTCGTGTACACAAGGAAGCATTCAGTAACCACCAGCACGTGCAAACATACTCGCAAATTTCCATCTCTTTTCCATGCAGTCCATCATGCAGCTCAGTGTTGTCGCCGAACCTCAGAGCTGCAGTCGTCCTCCGAATGATGTGCTGTAATGAGGCTTATTTGGCCCCTCCTTCCATGCTGTGGTTACATGCTGCCTGTAGAGGTTTGTGGCTCTCCAACATGGTCCACAAAGCTGGAAAAAACAACTTTTAAAAGTCAAATGATAGGTTAAATGTTTTCGTCATGAAGAACGCCTGTTGTGTAAAGGCATTAGAGTCACAGCTGTTCTTGACATGTGCCCACGACACCCAAAGCTTGTCCGGCAAAGTTTGCCATTCAGCGCCGGGGTTCTTTGTACTTTGCTGTATTCAACTGCGGTGGGGCCTCACTCCATCGCTATTAATCCTCTTTTCGTCCATCTGAATAGAGGTTTTAGTATCTCATTACATTGCTCGGGCAGGACTTTTTCTCCCAGTTCATTTTGCATTGATTTCCTTGGCAGTAAAATGCACAAAGTCGTGCCATTAAAGCCAATATGTTACTGCAAGGTTTGTGTAAAAGAATAATCAACAGAGGAAAACACCAGAGCCTAGGCGAGCACCCCCCCCTCCCCAGCATGCCTGGGAAGAACTGTAAGAACACGTAATTAACATAAAACTCATTAAAATTACAGCTCGGTCTGGAATTCCCTGCCAACCGCCGGCGTTGGCCACCATTTTGTTGCACCACCAACCACCATACATCAAAGATGGTGAGAGGAGAACAGCTGAATTATGTAACGAAGATAAACAAGTCTCAAGCTGTGGGGTGGGCGGGGGGAGGGAGGATATGATAAAGGATGTGCATAAGTACACAACCCTAATTAAATTCCTCTCCCCATGTCATAACTTCCCCCACCAAATATTCCACCATCCTTTTATGCGACTCAGTGGTTCGTGTTCAAAAAGAATCTTTCTCCAAACAAGTTTCAGAAATATTCTTTGAAACTTTTCCGCCAGTGTAGAATGTGACTCTCCTGACTCCATCCTCGGGGTTGGCCCTTAAAGTGAGAAATCGTTGCAATGATTAAAGAGTCTTAACTAAAATAAGTAGCCTGCACTGTCGCAAGTAGCAACAAATGACCTGTCGTTGGAATTGAGCGCCACATTTCTTTGCTCATCACTCGAACAGAGAATTGATGAAGATGCCGTCAGAGTAAAGAACCGAAGAGAGTGTAGATCACAGACTCAGAGTTTTCGGAAATAGAGATTTATTGAAGGGCACCCTCTATGAACCCTCACAAAGAAACTCCCTTCTTCCTCCCCCAGAGGACAGCACTTATTTCCCTCACGGAAAATGATCTCAATGCAGTACCCAGCCCTACCGCCAGTGATGATAATGAGGCTAATGCTAGCAGAGAGGTCCCAGAGAGATGGCCATTGACATTTTAGCAACTGCATGCTGGTGTTCAGCTCTGTGAACAGAGGGAGCCCTGGGGGCACCACCACACGTACTCATAATCCTCCCTGGGGGGACAGCACAGCTCTTTTCTGTGTGTTCCCTCTGGGAATTGACATAAAATCCCTTCTCTACTCTATATGGTGGCTTCCTAAAAAAATCAAATCTTCACAAGACTTTCTTTCAAAGCTTTTCCTTTGGTGTTGCCTTTGTCTCCGTTTCTTTGTGAACCGCCTGGTTTTTCTTTGTGCAATCTTTTTCTGTCTCTCAATCACTCCCTCTAAGACTTTATGTTTGTTGATGTCTGACGTGTTTGCTGCTACCACCTGGCAGGGAGGAATAATAAGCGGAATGTTGCTTACCTTATCACTGTTATTGCAGGGGATTGCCGCCGCGGTCCCTTTGACAGACCGCTTAATAACAGATCCAAAGCACAGATCACCATGTGTCCGCCCTCACGCTCTGTCCTTCACTTCTTCACTTTTTCTTTTTTCCTCCATCGCCCACAACTTCCCACCTCTCAGTCACCCTATCCTCTGCTTTTCCTTTTCTCCTCATTAGTCTCCGGCTCTCACCTCAGTTGGCTTCTCTCAAAAGTCTTTACCCCGGCTGTCTAATTCTTCTCCCAGACAAATCTGTCTGAGCCGCCTTCACTTTACCTCGTCCATCTCCCTTGTGCTCACCGTCCTCTCCTCTTTCGTCTTCCAGAGGGTACCCGGATGAAGCCATTGAACCAGAGCTGATCGATGAGCGCCACCCTTACATCCATGGCATGTATTCGGCGCCGCTGGCCCTGCCGGAGAGGGGGAGCATGGCCAGTCTGGACCGCATGGGTGGCCGACGCTCACCGTCCATTGACAGCATGCGGAAGGACCCGCGCTGGCGTGACCCAGACCTCCCCGAGGTCATCGCCATGCTGGGCCACCCCATTGACCCGGTCAAGTCCAACGCCGCCGCCTACCTGCAGCACCTGTGCTACGAAAATGACAAGATCAAGAAGGATGTGCGTCAACTGAAGGGGATTCCTGTTCTGGTGGGGCTTCTGGACCACCCCAAACCCGAAGTCCACCGCAAGGCTAGCGGCGCCCTGCGCAACATCTCCTACGGCAAGGACAATGACAACAAGGTGGCCATCAAGATCTGCGACGGCATCCCGGCACTCGTCCGCCTGCTGAGGAAGACCAACGACATGGAAGTTCGAGAGCTCATCACCGGTAAGAACAAATATTCTCATAATAAACTCTCCAAATAATGTGATGAGGCTCATCTGAATTGACACAAAATAAAGTATCCTTATTAGATTGTTAATCAATGCAGATGATTTTTAGAAGTACCTAGTCATCAGGCAGCAAAACCATCTATTTAAATGTGTGATCGATTTAAAAAAAAGTGAAAAAAACCCAAGCAAATGATCGTCTCCACTTTGCTCTTGATGAAAACATTTTCTGAATGTAGCAGGAACAAACGCACTTTGGGAGATGGAATTGTTGCATGGCTGGGCAATTATTATTGTTTCCTGTCTGGGAAGGATGTCGTGGCGATATTATCATATCATGTTTTAGTTTTACACATGACAGTTAGGTGTCATTCAAATATTTATGTCTGTAATGTTGCCTACATTTTCCATCTTGTGTTGAAAATACATACTAATACCATGACTTTATTTGTCTCACCCTCATCACACATATTATTTGAAATGAAGTGCTATGGATATGTTTGATTGCATTTCACAAGTCAGAGATCATTTACAGTTGCCTTGTCAAAGGTAAAGGATTCTTATATCATGAGAAAACCGCCAGCATAGCACTGTTGCAGCAAAGGCTGGCTGTGTTCTCCATTAACTGTAGGATTCCTCTCTCTGTCTGCCTAATTAGGCCCGACTCTCTTTCTCTTAAAGCAAGTATAAAGTGCTGCTTTGAAGCCTTTTAAGCTGATATGATAGCACCTTAGTATGCCAGTCCTTTCCAATCACTGGCAGCATACTTCCCATCACTTATATATTCTGTCTGGGAACATACAGAGTCGGCTGCCATAATCCCATACTCTGCATAGCAATGCAGGGCTGAGTCATACTATATTAAGAAGAGTTTTCTTTGTGGTTTCCACACATCATTATTTTTGCAACAGTTCACAGTGAACTATCTTCTCATCTCCCTCCATTTACATTATACGATTAATTTGTGCCCCGGCGTCCCGTATGGAAAGATACAACTCTCGCTGAATTAGCATTGGATTGGGACGCTATGCTAGTGAGGGGAGATAACAAAGCTGTAATTCAAAGCTTTAATCAGACATTCTTTTAATTCTAGTGAGGACACAGTTTGAGTAAGTTGTCTGGGAGATGGCTCTTTTTACCACTTGTAACAAATGTTAATGAGCTAATTAGTCGTCATATTGTAGAGCCGTTTTATTTCAATCAAGGTTCACAGTTATACAGAATATAGACCCAACATTACTTTACTATTATTACACTGCACTGTAAGCACAAAGAGAGAGATATAAAGTGGAAAGATTATCCGTAGAAAAGCAGATGACTTATGAGCATTGATGAGGAAAAAGCTATTGGCTGCAGCGTGTCATGAAATATGTTTTAATGCCTAAGAGGAGCTATTGATTCAAACGCCATGATGGGATTTCTTCTCCTTGACCTGGTAAATGTCAACGGGGGACTATAGTGGTGTGTGTGTGTGTGTGTGTCTTCTCAAGTGCTCAGCTAATCCCCAACATGATTGGTTTGACCTGACACACTTTGACTGGTGTGCACGCTCCGCCGTCGGAGAAGGGGCTTTTGTTTTCAGTGCACACGTATATGAAAAATGAGAACTACTTTAAAGGGAGATGCTTGATCTTTTCGAAGTAGCCGCTACATGTGAAATGCAGTATATGTACTAACCCAAGACATAAAAGGGAGTTACTTTTTAGGTCATTTTACAGTTTAGGGAAGGGGAAGTTTTGGTAGCTATCAATGGTTTATAGCTAGATGTCATTTTGCGAAGATATGTTGCTTTAAAGAGTGAATTCCAATATTGACAGCTTCAATCCAGAGGTAGTGATAGTGATACCAGTCGTTTAAAAATCACGCTTGTTGAGCTGTAGTGTGCATCCATGCATAAGAGTGTGTGTGTGTGTGAGGTTTCCTTTGCTGTGACAGAGATGTCGCGGTGAGCGATGACTGTGCCGCAGCAGAAATGATTGCCTTTACAGCACCATGTTGCTCCCCATCGTAGCTAAAAATAACCCTGCACCACAAGGCAAGGAGGACAGAATGGAGGGAGGCTTTTTTATTTATTCTCCTCACTCATTATGCACCCCCCTTCGCTCAATCTATTTTTTTCTTTTACTTCTTCATTCATTATATACACTCTGTCTCTAGGTTTAGGTTTCCATTGCCAGTGCTCTGACCCCAGTAAAAACAGGCCAGTCACAATGCAAGCTCAGCTCAGAGCCTCAGCCCATGTGGCTGGAATTGGCCGTGTTTTTCTACAATTAACTATGGGTTTTAAATATAGGCCCCTTTTCTTAGTCTATGTGTTTTAAGAGTTTTCTGTTGGAGTTTGTAAAACCACAGAGAGCTCTGTTTTCTGCAAGGGGAAACGGGTGACGTGGAAGGAACCAAGTGGTTTTATTTTCCAACACACAACACAGACAGACCAGTCGTTGATATTTTTAGAGTTTTGTTCCGTTCAGAGTAATTCTATTTCCCCTCCTGGTAGGCTCTGGGCTGTTTGTGCCCTCCAGCAATTCCCTCTCTGGAAATGTAGATTATTAAGCGCAGTTGTCTCCTGTTTCTCCTGCAGGAGATGTCTGAGTTTTGTGGACTGTCACTGAGGCAGGTGTCTTGCTTTGTCGTTTGGATGAAAAATGCATATGGAGCAAGTTGGCAGGCCTTAAAGCTAAGAGAGATGATGTCTAGACACACATGTATATCTGTGCCAAGAATTTGTATGCTGAGTTTAACATAATATACACAGCACTATTTAGAGGATGTTTTGGACTAAAGAACCTAAACGTTGTCTAAGTACATTTCAGTTTTAACACTGAAGGCCTCGCAGAACTGGAACCGTACACTGGACATCAATTGTCAGCTGTGGGATTAAACAAAGCAGCAAACAATATGTTGCACGGACATTTAGTGTTTTAAAATGTTACTGTCTTGAAGCTATAAACACTGCATTGTTATGTTATTACCTTATACATTGGTAACAGCTAATACGTTGCCTATTTACACATGCATCAGGTATTGTACGGATCGACACGGATCATTTCTGAGAAGGGCAACATACCTGAGGCCCCCCAACATCACCCATGAAACCACCTGCTGAGTTCATCATTGGTGTATATATGTGCTTGTGTCAGTGTGTATGTATGTGAGCATATTGCACAATTCGCCTAGTCCTTCCTTTTAATCAACTTCTTCCTCGGGATCGACCTCAGCACCCTCCCAAATACACATACATACATACATACATTATTTAAGTGGTTGTTTGCCATAGGAGACAACCGTGAGTTCACTTGCTGAGGCCTCCTCCTCTTCCTCCTTCTTTAGCACTAAGAGCTTGATGGATAGCATAAGGGGTGAGCAGGAGAAGGACAGGAGGAAGGAGGCGAAGGAGGAGAACAGTAATAGGCAGAACTAAATGAATAGCCCTGCTAGAAGAGCAACATATCTGCCAGTGGTGACTGGGAAATTGAATTAGCCTTAGCCTCAGCTCCAGTCCAGGTCCCAGTTCATCCAGCCCTCACATCCCTCCCATGTATCAGAGGAGAGGGGGATGTAAAAGAAAGGAAAATGAACAAAAAGAGAACCAGGAGGAAACATTTGGTTAAAACTCAGCTCACAACTTGACTCTTTTGCTCCCCATCTTGTCATTTAGGTTTTAATCTAAGCGTTGTTAGGATTTGTCGAGCTCTTACAAATCAAAACTGTCTGCTTGTGAATGATTGAAGAGGCAGTTAATGATATTCAACTCACCCTCTGGCTGGATTGGATTTTAGACAAAAGAAAACAGAGGCAATTCACAGGCTGATGGGAAAAGAGACAGATTGTTGTTACATGCATATCAGGTTCTTCATAGCCTTTCCTACGCATTTCCCTCTTAGGAATAGAAGCATAGCCTCGGCAATGTATACACGCTTTCTCAGAACTCTTTGGGGAAGTTTTTGTAGCTGAATGAGTTCTGTTTACAGGAATATATCACAATATATTTTACAACTTATTTCGCACATTCTGCTCCTCAGATGGTTTCCTTCACGGCCAGCTAAACCAGACTGTTTACCCCGTAAGAACTTTTCTCAGCAGATAAACAACATGAATAAACCAGATAGGAATAACATTTTAAGATCTTGAAAGCAGTTGGACTTAGTTATTGAAGGCTATGGCAAAGTCTTGGACTGTTTCGTTATGGCCCTGCTGGGAAACCTGACTTTACTGGATAACAAACTTGTGAGAAAAGTGACAATATAAGTTAAAATCATCCGTATTATAACTTCCCCATGGGAAGTAACATCCTGGATGCATTAAGATCTTATTGCCAAAGCCTTCATGCAGATGGATTAACAAATCCATAGTAAGATAGGTAGTCCAGGTGTAAAAGGAGCCTTTGTCATCACACATGCACGGTATCTGCCTCTCAGTGCCACGAGACAGCGGGACGTTCCCAATCCACCTTCCTCCGACAAGCTGACAGAGGACAGCAAATAGACTAAACCTGATATAGAGCCACTGGCCTGAAACAGTGGCGGGATGGAGGTCGTCACTTCCACAGCACTCTGTCACCTTAAATAACGTTGTGTCTGTGGGCTGTATGCCTGTCGTTCTTGATGGATCACAGCCACTCACAAAGACATGCCTTAGCCTCCCCTCTGGCATATGTGATCAGTGTAGAGCTGACTGAATTCACGGCATGAGCAATGTTTCAGCTGTAGTACCGGAGGTGATTTGGCCTCCCTGGTGAAGGCCGGGGGGGGGGGGGGTGCACAGAGAAAGTTTGCATGGTTGTGTTGTACTTTTGGCATCCAGGCTTAGGTTCCTTACGTAGGTACTGAGGTGTGTATGATCTTTTTAGTTATTGCAAATTGCTTTTTTTGACAAGTAATAGATAGATGCTGACATATTTTACATTTTATACGCAGAAATGCAGACACAACTATGTTGGATGCGGGCTGTGTTTTACGATGATGTAGAAGCACTCAACGCAGCTGTAAAATGAGGAAAGTTTGTGACCAAAACCAAGCGAGACAGCTGCGGTTGTTTTTCTTTGGGCGCAATTATCTGTGTCCATCTGTGTCTGTATGTACTACTGTCAGGATATAGTGAGGCAGGCATGTCATCATACACACACACCACAAGAGCACATTTGTTGTTAATGTGCTTCGTGCCTGGGTGCTGATACTTCCTCTCATACGCTCTCATGCTTGTGGTTCAAATAAATGACAAAATTGACCCTGTAAAAAAGAGAGTGAGGAAATATGCTCCAGGGAAGGAGTGGGTGGTTTACTAAAAACAATACTTTCGGAGGGCCAAAGGTCAAATAAGACTTTAAAAGAGCAATTACGACTGAATAAAATAGCAAAAATCCACTTTTTTTTTTTTCTGTTTCACTTTTTAATATGACTCCCCTGCTCTTTTGCAACAAAAAAAAAATCACATCTTGTTGTTAACTTCTCCTCATTTGGATTTCATTGTGTTGGGTCATTCATTTGCAATGAACTCTCAATAATGAAACGTTGTCTCTCTCACTCCTGCATGTATGCAGATATGTTTAAATGCATGAGCTAATACTGTGCGCCACAGCAAGTTTAGTTATTGCTTTGACTGCTGCAGTACCAGAAATAACGTTAATGAGTCAAGCTCATGTCAACCATTGTCTGTGAGCAATGTGAAGTTCTCTGTGATACCTGATGTCTTTGATACCAAGGGAAAACTGTGATTAGAGTAGAAGTACACAGGACCTCTGAAGATACTGTGTATGTTTGTGATATCTCGAGCTATACTTACAGGGTGTACCTTATTATTTTCAACCAAAAGCACTCAAATGTGCAATCAGTGGAGGGAAGAAAATGAAGGGGCACTTCAAGGTAGATTCATCTAAAGCCTGAATGACAATAAACATGCAGACAATGCTAACCTAATTGACTCAGCCATTGACTCAACAACTACACACAGAAACAGACCAACAACGGTCGGTATGATATCCTGAGACCAGCCTGAACAGACACACCTGGTCTGAACCATGGGTAGGTCTGGGTAGATAACAATATGCAATAAAGGCAGAAAACAAACATGTAATTAAATAATACTGGTGTAATTTCTTCAATCAGAGGTTTGATTATGCTGATGAAAGAGCATTCATATGTTTAAATAACATCTCAGCTGGTTTTCGTCCAAGTTTAACGTACCATGAAAGTGGTTGGGGGGGGGGGGACAAAAGAAAATCTATTTTAAATTTGTAGAGCTATGAAATTTACAGTAAACACATGAAGCACAAAATTAAATCAGCCTTCATTCAGCAATGTTCAGCAACCTGAACATTGTTTAGAGCATCGGGGGCTTTTTGCCCTGGAATTAGCCTCTCTTGCAATGTTTACTCTCAGGTCATGTTTTCCCAACAAGCTCTGTGAATCAGGCTTATTTAGTTTGTTATTAAACTTATTTACTGTACATCAGCGACCAGGTACAAAATCCATTCATTAAAAAAAAAAGAAAATATGCTTTGTTCCAGCTTTCGCTCGAAGCTAATTTCTCTCCGTAGGCCCTTTGGCATTGACAAAGACACAATAAGTGGATAGTTTGAGGTTATTGATGGGCATACAAGGCCTGTGTCTATATAGGGATATATAAAGAGTACAAGTATTGAGTAAAATCACAGCACATCATTCACATTGTCCAAAATGTTAAATCTTCTCACTGAACTTCCAGTCCCATAAACATGATCTGTTAAGCACACAAGATTCTATTAAGTTGGCTTGAGGCTTTAGTGTGTGTTCAATAGCCTGCATCGCAATAATGTGTTTGTGTGTGAAAGTGGCCCATGGAGCCTCACCTCAGCTTCCACATCTAATGGCTTCCCAGTAAGATACTGGTCGCCTGGTGATCTATGACGCACAGGAAGCCGGTCTAGTCACCAACCGGAACCACAGAGGGAATGGAGGTTACGATAGACAAGCCACTGTGATGGGCTTAAGTAAGGTCATGAGCCGCATTCAAATATCACAAGAACACAGTATGCAGATTAGTCTAATACGTTTTATTTTTCCCTTTTCAACGTCTTGGCGAAGGAAACAAGTTTCCTGCAGGCCCAACCACACCAGAAGGAATGGATTTATTTTTAGCCCTGGCCTGTCCGCCGAGGCCTTATTTATGATTTAATAGAGGAAATAATGACCATCTGGAAAATGTACAGAAACTGTTTTAAAGAACGGGGCGAGACATTTTCATTGCCCTGCTAATGGTCTGTTATTGTGGGGCAAGAGGGAATCTGTCTGCGTATGTATGTATGTGCACGAGTGTGTCAGGTCCTTCATGTCAGGCAAAGTGCATGCGTCTTTGAGCTCTCCTGCGTGCGTTTGTTTAATCGTAATGCTGTAACTCCCAGTTGTTGTTCTCTTTGGACCAGGCGTTTTCAAACTGTGAGGCGTGGGACAGTTAAACGAGGGGGTGTGGAGGGAGAGACGTGAGGCAAAGTTACTGTGTGAGGCTAAAAGGACAGGAGCCTGCTGGTGTTCTAAACACAGCTGAAAGTTGGCTATTGAAGTCTGGATGGCTGATTTGGACCGTTCACCAACACAGCCAGCTGTCACAGTGGTGTGACACACAGCTCATGGAGCCAATTAAGGCTCAGGGACGGCAGTAGGGGGGCTGGACAGCTGCAGGGCCCACCATGGTTTGGGGGTTGGAGAGAGCGGGTCCAATGTTGGTTGGTGGAGATTCCTTTTTTCCCCCTTTCTTCCCACTTCGTTAGTTTGATATCTCTGTCCAACCAGCCTCGACGTCCTTATTGTTTCATTTTATTTACCATTTCCATCTCTGGGTTAGGAAGTGTAGCTTTCCTGCCCCAATGCGGCCATGCTGGCCTACCACCAATATCCTTTGTATAACTATATTATATTATAGGAGAGAATTAACGTGCATAAATCCAATTAGGAAAAAATGATGCACCTTATATCTACTGTTAAACGTCATATTTTCTTCATCATTAAAGTAATCCAGTGATAGTTTTCTGTACATCCATGGGCACATTGCAAACAGGAACTGTCATTAACTAATTTGGCATATTTTCAATGATGGCAACATTGTCAGACTTTGTAAACCCCAACTTTGGACGACCAGATCTTCAGATCAGAATGCAAACTAAATGCCTGAATATCAAAAGAGAAAAGAAATAGTGAGATAAGTGATGAGAGACGAAGGCAGAGAGAGAGAGAGAGAGAGAGAGAGAGAGAGATCAGAATGATGGTATAATAAAAACAGAAACTCTGTCCACATCAAACATGGACTTCAAAGTTTCTTTTTTATTTTTGTTGTAACATTTTTGTTCTCCTCAAACCAGAGTCTGCCTCGCAGAGCTTCTATGTGTCTGAGTGAAAACCCATCTGATGCTGACGCTTTATCGCAGCCCTTTATTTTTGCGGGGTTTGGCTGCCTGGCTATGCTGCCAACAACGTCCTCCGCACTGCTTTGTCTGCCTGCCTCTGTTTTGTGAAACCTCAGGATGCACAGACCCAGCTCAATTTAGTTTACCTCTTCTGCAGAAGTATGCAATAGGCTGCCTGTTAGAGAGGTGTTCAGGTAAATAGAAAATGCTTTCTCCTGCTTGGATTGTTTAGATGAGAGAATAGAGGAGGTGATGGATACACGTCTGTGTGCTTTTTGCCAAAGTAGTTAAATTCTATTGAATACAGCATATGTATGCATTGAGGTCCAAGTGGTATATTATTTAAAAAGTGATACTGCATTAGTTGAGAAGTAAGATTAAGCATCGTAAGGTTACTTCCTGTAACCTCACTGTTCCAATAGCGATAGCATGAGAGTATTATAGAAATATCACAGTGAGTACTGTCCTCTATGAACTTTGTGTGGATTACGACATTGTGATAGTCGGCTAAGCCCTCGTGGGAAAATAATAAAACTATTACAGTTTGTTTTAATAATGTTCAATATGACTTTTTCAAAAGTGGTGTACCTCCAATCTTAATGTGGTTTTGATTGTAATCTTAAAGTCTGCACTACAGTTTTGCCGCTATTCAGCTGTCGTTATATTGCATCACTTTCACTCTCCTCCTCTTCCACCTTCCTCCTCTTCTTTATTCCTCTTCTATCCTCCATATTTCTCCTTATAATCCTCTTTCCAAATCACCTATTTCTTTCCCTTTCTATCACTATCCTCTTAATATCTCTTCTAATTTCTATTTAATTCCCCGACAGGAACCTTGTGGAATCTGTCGTCCTATGAACCCCTGAAGATGGTGATCATCAACCACGGCCTGCAGACCCTGACCAACGAGGTTATTATTCCCCATTCTGGTTGGGAGCACGAGCCAAACGAGGATTCAAAGCCCCGCGACGCCGAGTGGACCACCGTCTTCAAGAACACCTCCGGCTGCCTCAGGTAGGTTTAGACATGAATCAAGCTGATGTTGATTTTATTAAAAAATAGTGTCTGAATTTAAATAAGAATTTTGAGAGAAATGTTTCATTTTACAAGAATTTAATAACACTGGGTTTCAGTGTTTATAACAAATATGCTTTTGTCATTTTCACATGTGTACACAATATCGTCAAACTCTAGAATAAACTTAAAATCTTGAATATTACAGGAAAAATTATTCTGCAGATGTTCTAGTTGAGTCAAACTTGGTTGCAGGAAGATGGACTGAAAAGATTAAAATCAATTTCAAATTCATCAAATTCAAATGTATATTTTTTGTGCTTTTAGCACCAAAAGCTGAGTCCCATTATATTGGAGAGAAGGCACACATGTATATGGTAGATACCTCCATAACTAGGTGACTCAGACCAAAACAATCTAGATTGATGTATAGCACTACAGGTAGGAGACAAGAAGAAAATGATGTATTTTTGATTTTGGGGTTTGTTAAATGACAAAGATGACAGTTTTAAAATGTCTTTATTGTTAAATGCAGAACAAAGAAGGGCAATGAGGCGTGGCATTGTTTCCAGCTGAGACACTTTGTTTTTTTGTGATTGCTATGAGACAGAATGTTGGACGACTGGGTACAAAACTGCCAGTGACGAGCGCAGCGGTTTACTGAAATTTGAATATTTTACAACCCTCCGCAACCACAAACCATCTTGCGGTTGGCTCATCAATAGTACAGTACTGAGGTTAATGCAACAGCCCTAGATCTGATGTTTTATTGTGTCATATGTGATAGTGAACTGTATATCTTTGCAGTTTAGGACTCGTGATCGGATACGTTGGAGACATTTTACAGCCAAATTGGTTTATCAATCAATTGAATAAAAATATCCGTAGATTAAGCTATCCTCCGATTAAAGAAGTCTAAAGTGGGAATAGCACAAAGAGGAAGCAAAACTGCAATTTAAACAAGAAGTCCGGATATGAAAAATGTGTGAATCCAGAATGCTGTCTTTTGAAGTTTGAGCAGATTGAAATTTTGGACAAAACCAGCTTTAAATCAGGAAGGACACAGATAGACATGAGGCAGAAACTGTGCAGACAGATGGCAGATTTATTCAGGTTAAAGTCAATTTAAGTTTACAGCATGTGGACACATTTTAGAGATCATCCTGGATTTTATCGAGGGGATCCTTAACACACACACATCCTTGTTTTTACTCTGATACCAGTTGTAGCTGGGGACAGATGTGACGTATATGAGACTATATTGTGTTGGACCAGGGTCAGGTTTTAGTTCTCAGGTACTAAAAGAATTCACGATACGGCAGATGCTGTATCTGTATCTGTATGTATGTGAAGTATGCTGGATGTCTGTCTGCAGCAGATTGCTGGGTGACAAACTGTTAATGACCCAAGCTTCATCACATACAGGTAAGGTGCATTGTGTTATCACTTCAGAAGACATCTATCTACTGCATTTTGGGAAGTTGTTTTTGAAATGTTCCTCTATTCGTATCTTGTCATTCTAATATGGGCTGGGTAACATTACAACCACTCCACCCTGAGTCCAATGAGTAGCAGTAGAAGGTAACTGAGCAAGCTGCAATTAAATAAGCACACCAATGAAGTTATTCTCAAGCTTATTATGGCTGAGAGAAGATAAATTGAGCCTGCAGTGCAAATCGTAGCCTCATGACAACAAGTCAATATGTCTGATTCCTTTTTTTTTTTTTAGAAAAGCACTCTCTCTTTTTGATGGTCAGAAAAAACAACAACATGCGCGCATCAGTGTTAATCGGGATGAAAAACATAGAATTTTGAATGAGTGTGTCATTAACCCTTATGCGTGAGCTACAGTGCATTGCCATCACTGAACCCGGAATGCTGTCTTCAGTGACTGCAATCGGAACCCGGAGTTGTTCTTAGATCAGTCATCCAAAGTGGTGTTAACTTCTCCATTTCCACGGTGACATGCCTCCATGTTAAAGTGGTGTGACTAACTCGGCCATGCCGCTGACCCTGTCTGCTCCATTTGTTTTAAGAAGTGAAGGTCTGTGATAGTCCTGGGGGGCTCTAATGCGTATACTGGTCTTTGCAGTCACATTGCTCTCGTCCGATGAAGCAGAGCTACGGGATGATTGATTGGTTTGAACCTGTTCATCAGCAGGAAACTGCTGCCTCACTAGAAAGTGCTGAATCCATTTGACCTGTGACCTGTAGTCAAACAATGTCCACAGTAATGCATGGTCAAACATGGTCATATCCACGGTGGAGTTTTCAGATTGTTTTCTAAAAGTTAGCTGTCCTCACTGAAACACAAACATCTTTGTCCTGTTTATTTTGTGGCAGTAACCGTAATTTCTTTCTTTCTGTTGTGTGCCCCAAACATTTATATACATATAATTTACAGCCTACAAACTACAGAACATCACATCACCATATAATATTACTGCCTCTCCAGCTTCTACTTGTCTTAGGTTTTATTAGCAACAATCTAAAAGCTTCCCTGCTTTCAAAATGATACCTGATATTCAAATTCAATGCAAGTTCAGTGTGGAGTGCACCTCAGACACGGCGAAACCTCAGCCAAACATGCTCTCTGCCTCGGTCTATAAATGCTGTCATCAGCTGAGGCTGACGACTTGAGTGCAAGAGTCTCGAATTCCTGTGTTCCCTCTCCCAAGTATCTCCTATCTTCTACCTTCCCTGCTGAAGCAGTCATTTTGGCTTCAACTCAGAATGACAGACTGTAGTAAATTGCGAAAGACAGAGAGTGTGCATGTGGCGTTATCACGCCTCACGCCTGGCTGTGCTTTTCTCAAGCCCGTCTAGACTGTAATCCAGGGCAGAGCTCCCGGAGTAGACACTGCGATGTGCTGGTTGACATCCAGAACAATACGACATCCAAATCCAGCTCAGACAGAAAGTACCAGAATGTATTTCACACATTATTGCTCTGCATCAGATGCTTTCCAGCTAGTTGTCTCTGGCTGTACAAAGTATGGAAACCTGCTTGTAATTTCAGAACATTTTCTGCTGAGTTGAATAGCAGCATTAACGAATTAAGAGGGAATAAATGAAAGTGCTCTGATTTAGCCGAGGAAAGTCAGAGACAAGTCATGGAATTTTCCATCAGGGCCACAGTGGGAACCCTGCTCTCACTGCCTCGTACTGCTTCTCATTGTGTCTCTCAAGATGTCTTTCATTATCTGTCATGCTCTCTCTCTCTCTCTCTCTTTCTTTCTTTTTGTGTGTGTATGTACTGTATGTTTTTCATCGTCTTCCCAAACACTATATCCAAACCGTGTCACCCCTGATGCCACATATCACACAGTATCTCCCCCGTGCTCACCCTCCCTCGACCCTCGACGCGGCCGCGAATATGTCTCCATGGTAACTGTGACCAAGCCCACAGTTGCCTAGACGCCGGGTTTTTTGTGTGCTGGGGAGAAGTGCTGATGCCAGGGAGAATCTGTTTACTTACGCCAACAGAGACGCGGCTTGCACCTCAATAAAGCCGGGGATAGTTTTATTATAATAGCCTCTTCTGTCGATAGGAGGCAGCTTATTTACAGTGTTTACACTGAGGGCTCAGTGAAGGGGAAACTCTGTGTGTGTGTGTGTGTGTGTGTGTGTGTGTGTGTGTGTGTGTGTGTGTTGTCTTTGGTGGTGTTGGGGTTGGGTATCAAGAGCTGGTTCTGGTGCCAGTACAAGAACAGAGATAACAGTGATGGGCCTCCACATGCACCAGCGCTTCCAAATGTGTAGTGTTTAGGATCGGTTTGTCAGATCAGAAGGGTTAATTAGTTTAGTGATGCTTATGACAAAGCATTTCATTCAGCTGGATATACGAGTGCAGAATTTTAATAATGTAAATAATTATATAGTATAATGAAACAGAGATAATATAATGTTAGGATGTCCAACTCAAGTAAACACACGTGTGACTTGCGCATGTTAACATAGACGGTGTTTATTTTGGTCTTTTCTCTACTTGGATGGATTGGAACACATTTGGGTACGGACACCCATGGTTCCCAAATGATGAATCCTAATAACTTTAGTGATACCCTGAATTTTCATTTGGTCACCATGAGGTGACACTTCTATTGTTAATGCAATAGCAAATACGACTTCAGACTGAATAACGAGTCTTTTTCACGGCAGTCATTTTGACTTGCCATAGAAGGAAAGGTAGAGGTGTGACTAATAACAATGACTCTGTTCTATTTCAGTGAGCTGTGACAGTAAGCCAGCATGCACAATACCACGGCTCTGAAATTGAAGCAGCTAAATGAAATTCAGACGCCGTTCATGTTATTGTTCACTCCTGTGCTTTACCAACTGTGACATGCTGAAAAGTCTGACGTGAAACATGTGTATGATTTGAGTTCAGTGGAAATCTGCTGATATTAAGGGCTTTTCTGTTATTTGCCTTTTAACGCATTCTAGTCTATTTTCTGGCTCAGATAATATGAGAGAATTTGAACAAGGATTAGATAAGAAGCAAAATCAGGCCCGGCATTATGGGCGGGCCCCGGGGGGGCTGCTGTGCCCCCCCATAGAGTCAGGAGCTTGTGATGTGTGATCCCATGCTCTGTACATTGTAAACTCAAACAGAGCCTACTAAGAGGGAGCCCTTTTTTATATGTATGAACGATGCTAACAGTCAAAACCAGCAGGGGAAGGTGCGTAGAAACAGCTGTTTGCAAGTCTCTCTCTCTCTCTTTCTTTTTTGTTGAATGTTCCTTAACTTTCATATCATTTCCCTTCTAATATAGGGCCGAAAAAACTATTTACAACCCCGCTAAACAAGCAGGATAATAAACCCTTGTCCGTCTATCAGTCGCTCTCCACCGCTCCTTTTCACACGGTTCTCAGGACGGCGCTGCTGTGACATAAGAACCCCCGACAACAACAGCGCTGTCCATGGTGCTGACGCAACAGCTGAGCGATGTAGTCACGTCATGTATCGGCCAATCATTTTGTTGTATTTGCTATTTTAAAAAAATATATATATATATACATTAATATACTTATACTTGCTATACTATACTTGTATATTTTATCCCCCCCTGGACACCCTTACAGTCAGCTAAGCCCAAGTGGTTTATATTACTAGTACCTGTATCGCTCTGCTGGTCCGACATTACGTCCACTTCTTGGATGCGGCCCAGAAAATAGCTGCGTTCCATTTCCTCGGCAGTCCAGGTACTCTGACGTATATTTACTGTCAATGACTTCACTGTTGTATCCTGAAATTCTAGACACACATATGCTACGTATAGATAGGGAGGATGTGTTTATAATTGTATAATAAACCTGATCAATACACTGACGTGCGCCACCTATTATGTTTACACTGAGCCCGCTTACGGAAATCAGATGCCCACCCACAGATTTATGTCTGCCGCCGGGTCTAGGCAGAATCCATAAGATGAATCTGAAATTAAATCATGATCGATAGAACGTAAAGGATACCCAACCCCAGGGTGCACATATGGTCCTGCAGCGTTGCCGTTGACCTTGCAGGACGTTAGCGGAGGACAGCCACGACTCCATCAGTCTCCATCAGTCTCCACAAGTCCATCTCCAGTCTATTCGTCTCAGCTGCTCTATTGTCCTCTGATGGCCACATGACTCTGAGCGTCCTTCACACCCACACTTCATCTGATAAAGCACACACACTATAGGCACATTCTGATCACAGTGACAGGCGGTCCGTGTCTGTGCTGTGTTTCTGCACTCGGTTGTCAAAGAAATGAGAATGTTCCTGTTTCTCTTAGAACTGCCCTATCATTGTCATATGGTATTTTGTCACCGTATTCTTTCTTTGACCATCAAAATGTAAGTGTTAACATGTTTTTTTCAGTAATGTCATCTCCTGTTAAAGAAGGAAACAAAAAATGCTTTGCCTCGGCCCAGTGTTCTAAAATGTCTCTTGATCTGAAAATGTTGGGGTCTGAATCAGATAAATGACTTACTTACTGCATGTTTCAAACACATGGATATCATACCTACCGCCTCTTAGTGGATTAAGAAATTTAGTAATGATTTGTGGTAATAGCAAGGGCTGCAAGATTAGCTCATTTCCTTTTATACAGTACATTTTAATGTTTCACTTGTAGCCATGATATTTTGTTAGATATTTTGACATTAATTAAATATTATTTATTGAAACTGCTACAAGCAACAACGCTACACACTACACTACATAGCTGTATTGCAGTTTTAAAACAGCAACACAAGTGTTAACAAGACGCAGTGTTTTTTTGGGCTGAATACTAACTTGCTCACAATGACAGCGTGCTGATGTTTAGCAGGTGTGCTCTAATGTTTCCGTATCCACAATTATAGTTTAAGGTGTTGGGATATTAACATTTGCTAATTAGCAATAAACACAAAGTTCCTGAAAATGAAACAGCTGACAATAAAACTCTTCAGTCTGTCTGCCCTGAAATACACTCCTGTCAAATAAATCCAAGGCGGTTGCTCCTCCGGATCCATTTACAGGGGAGGTGGTGACTGTTTTTTGACAGCTGGAGACGAATGGGTTTCGTTTATGAGCGGGTCCAGATGTCCGGTACTGTCTGCCTGGTCTCTACCAAAGATTACTTTGAATTAGCACTAACTGCTGGATGGTTCTGTGGGTTTCCACAGAACCATCAGAGCATTATGACTTTGCAGTTGTGTCTGTTTTTTATAAAACAGGAACATTATATAGCAGTGTTGTAGGACTGGTTGTGTGTTTCTGTCCACACAGCACTATAAAGCATTCCAGCTCTGCTTACCACCACCAGGCTGCCACTCTTCCCCAGTACTAACTGGGGGTCGGCTAATGGGATTAGGTGGGTTGGAAGTCCTGATAAATGAAGTCCCCGGTGAGGAGCAGGGAGCTGTAGCTTTCTCTTAACGCTCTTTAAAGCCTTGCCTTTCACAGTCAGTCAGACAGCCGCACTAAGACTGCACCCGCTCTGCTGCCAGTCTGCTTATAGGAGCTGTGCTAAGGGCGCAGGCTGATGTAACATGGATAGCATTTCCCTTTGTAGCAAAAAATGAAATTTATATTCATCATTCTTTTAAGATTATTCCTGAAGCAGTCCGGCTTTATTACATTGTACTATTGAGGCAGACAGGGAGGATAAAGGCTACGGGCCAGAAAATCCCAAGGTTGGCTCAGACAGGTTTTAGATTGCTAATATTGGACTTTTTAATCTTCATACATCTGCCATCTGTCATTGTCCAGTCTGGCAACGTCTTCAAATGGGAATCATTAAAGTTGATGGTACTAGAATCTAGTAATGTTGCACGCTTAAATGAATGAATAAACAACAACAAAAGAACTCTGATCTTTTATGGTGCTCAGTTTTTTAATCTGTGTTGTTAGTTTTACGGTATATGTCCTGTTTGTTACAATGTGGTTAAGCAAGCAGGATAAGACGCCTTTGTGTCTGTCCATCGCTCTCCACCGCTCCCTTTGTCTCAGTTCTCGGGACGGCGCTGCTGTGACATAAGAACCCCCGACAATCAACAGCGCTGTCCATGGTCCTGACACAACAGCTGAGCGATGTAGTCACCTGTGCCTCTGTCACCTGTGATGTTTCGTTGAGATACAGTTTTCATGAATGCAATGACAAAATAAGCTTGATTTGTCTTGCTACTATCCATTAAGTTAAATTACTAGTAGCAGTTGTATTAACAATTATACCACTAGCAGTTGTAGAAAGTGCTGCCTCTTGCTTAAGTGGTTTGTCAGATTTGGGGGATCATAAATATGTTGAGTTTAAGATATTGACTTCCTTCAAATACCATACAGATCTTAGTATATTGTATTGTATATTCAAGAAGATACATATATACGTATATACCCTCACAATCTGAATCATCTGCTGCCAAATGGCTGCAGGTTCTGTTAGCGGTGTAGTTCTATCTGGTTGATGCCGACTAACAGTGTGTGTTTATGACTTTATTTTCCTGAAGAAACGTGAGCTCAGACGGGGCAGAGGCTCGGCGCAGACTGAGGGAATGCGAGGGATTGGTGGACGCCTTGCTGCACGCTCTCCAATCAGCTGTAGGGAAGAAAGACATGGACAACAAGGTAGTGTCTGATTCGCCACTAAAACACATCCGTTAAGGCAAATGATGAATACAGATGTCGTGTATTTATTGAGATCTTATTGAAGTATTATGCAGATGTACTTGTAGATGAGAACACCTCTGTCTCTTTTTCCCCCATAGTCTGTGGAGAACTGTGTTTGTATTATGAGGAACTTGTCCTACCACGTCCACAAAGAGGTGCCGGGGGCCGAAAGGTTCCAGGACCCCTCAGCGCTTCAGGCTCCTGGCTCAGCAGGACCACAGAGGAAGAAAAAGGATGACGCCGGCTGCTTCGGAGGCAAGAAGGCCAAAGGTGAGAAGGAGAAAAGAAAGAGACAGATACAAATGTGGTAACCACTAATCTGAATTGTAAACTTTAGGACTTCCAAAATGAGATTATTGCCTTTTGTTAAATTAATAATAGAAGAAAATTAGAATGATTTGTATTGCATAACAGGTAACTTATGATTCATTAGAAAAGCTTCTTTAAAGTGTAGAACACTTTGTTTAATGATTGGTAGCAGCTGCATGTGCTGGCTTTATAGTCCTTAATATTGTTTCTTTTGCTTACTTGTTTTTCATGCAATTGACAGAAAGGCAAAGCCGTTATTCAAACAGCTGGATTGAATATACCAGTCTCTACCTTGTCCTCGTCTTCTTTACTGTCTTTGTTTGTTGTTGGTTTTATATGAGTGCCGGGCTCATATAAATTCCCTCAGATAATGACGATGTTGTTAGAAAATCTGTAGTAATCTGTCACATCGAATGTGCATATAGACTTCATACGTTGGATGTCTCAAACACAGTTCTCCTGTCTCTTGAAAATAGGGTTTTTATATTAACTGTCACAGTAACCTCTTAGCGTCAATGCAGCACTATGATGAGACACCTCTGTAATGGACGTGTATCGTGCTACCGTCTGCTGCTTCAGGAGGTTTTTCCCATTATTGATTCTCCTCAACAGATGTGCCATGTACGCACGCGTCTTCATCAGCATTCTCCCAGGCTGTTAGCTCAACGACACTGTTCTCTATCTACTGTACAACATTAATGACTGCCATTAATCAGTCAGCCAATGAGGTGTAACTGCCAGCCAGTGACCCTCGGCTTCTAACGGCTCATTGGAGAATCCCTTCGGTTCAGGGGTCAGGAGAACACACTAGCTTACATGTATACAGAGTTATAAAGACACTAATTAACCACATAAATACTTTCACACATGCACACACGCGCTTAGAATAATGAGAGGTGTTTAGCTGCTGCAGACCCTGAAGGTGTTCTTTGGCAAAAAAACGAGGCTCAGGTACAGAAACATTAAACGTGGCTATAAAGGAACATGGAGGCGGGTGGTTAAGCAGCACTGTCGGCGATATGCTTGGCAATTTGTTACCTTAAGTAGGCTACGTTTGGCCTCCTCTTCAGTTTAATGTCACATTCAGTATTAAATATACCATTATGCTCAACACGCGCTCAGCAGCTCAAGTATTGTTTTAGCTCCTAAACAGCCTGATTCGTGGCTGTTATTTCCGTCTCTTTGAGCACATCTCTGTTCCTCCCAGGCAGTGACTTTAATGATGCTTACAGTTGGTGCTGTTGCTATGTATGTGTTTCACTGTGACTCTCTCTCCAACTCTCCTCTCTGACAATGGAAGCTGATTCCTTTCTTTCTTTCTTAGACTTTTCGTTCTCCTTTCTCTCGTTGGCTAGCTTTTCTTCATGTTTTTTCCTATTTTTTTTTATGTTTCTGGCTATTTGACGGCTTCCTTCTCCCTCTCTCTTTCTATCTAAAAAGCCATCCCACTGATGCCAACTCTTTGAGCATGCTTTCAGGAACAGCTATGGACTGCTAATAGCATCCCATTTAGCCTCTTTCCTCTCTTTGCTCTCTCCATCTTTCTTTTCTAGTTTTTCCCCCTTCCCCTTCCCCCTTTAATCTTCCCTGTTTAGTAAAAGATGCCGTCTTTTTGTAAAACTGTTCATCTATTGCTCAGCTTCTTGACACACGCACACGTCTTTTTCACCATGCCTCTTCTCTCTTCTCCCTGCTTTGTGTTTTTTGCATTGCTGCTGCTTCCTTGGCTAACTATAGAGGAATGGTTTAATCAAGGTGAGTGTCCCCCCCTCGGCCCTTCTCACTTGAGCTCTCCTCACCCTCCTCCTCCTCTTCTACCCCTGGCTGTAGAATGTAGTTAGAAGTAGTTTTGGGTGTCTTCCAAAAATCTGAGAAAGTTCCAAGGACTTCAAAAAATTGAGTATTATAGGCTCCACCCCTCCCAATCTTCACAGTGATTTGTTCCTCTGAGATAGTTGAAAGGTTAAGGTGATCAAACTTGATGAAACGGGTAAGTCCATCGGGATGTAAAGTAGAGCTTGACTAATCAAATGAGTCGAAGATGCAGCAATTAAAAACCCAAACCTATTTAGTCTGAATCTATGATTGAATTGAAATTAACTGAAATTAAGTGAAATGTCAAACATTTTATACTCTAGTTAAAACTAATCCTGACTCGCCGGCTGCTACTTCCTGTATCAGACTTTTCACCGATCCCTTTGTGTTGTGTTTAAGAATAAATGTCAAGCTCTGCTAGATCCTGTTAGTGTGTGTGCGTGTTTGGGTGTGTGTATAGGAGGCTTTGAATGATATGGATCATCATTACTGAAACAGATTTGTATTGAAGCTGCCAATATCAAATATTTTTGAATAATAGTTTTTTTAAGACTATTATTAGATGTTCAAGAAACATAAACATGACTTAATTATATCAAAAAATAAAATTTTATAAGAATACATTTAAAATTAAATAAATATAAGATCAATAATGAAAAATAGATAAAACACATTGTTTCTCCTACAGCTAGTAATCAACTATGTCCAACCTGAAGTGAGGTTTGCAAGGCTCTCATCCTGCTCCTAGCAGAAGAGCATATCAATCATCTCCAAGCATGTAGGTTCAAGACAATTCATAAAATGACCCCACTTTTAAATAGTTATTGTTTTACCTTAATAGAATAGGTATTTTTTTCGAAGGATATACATGCAGACAGTTCTTTTAGCCATTAACCAATACTTTGCTATCATCCGTTTTGCCTGTAAAAAACATAGATCTAAAAGTATTTGCTCTTTCTTCCCCTCGTTATGTTCTGTTGGACAACAACCTAATAATAAAAGCTTGGGCTCCATAGTTCTCTTCCATCATATATTTCACCTCTTCCCAAAACTTCTTATTTCATTTTATTACATTCCCAGGCACGATGGAAAAATATTCTCTTGGATTGTCCACATTTGAAACACAAATCTGGGCTATTACTATTACAGTTATTTAGCTTTGTTTTGGGAGTAATATATGTGCACATCAGCCAACAATCTTCAGTACTTGGTCCTAAAGGCATTTTGGGAAATGCTCGTAATTGCTTTCTTGCTATAAGAGCTGGGTGAAAAGATTGATACCGCTCTAATGTCGATGCATTAACTATGAACCTGGATGCAGAAGTCAATTTGCTTAGCTGCTATAAAGATTTGAAGCCAGGCTGGCCCGCTCTCATTTGTTTTACCTCAATACAGTCATGCTGATTCTCCCTGCTTCCAGTCTACATGCTAACCCAAGCTAATTACTTGCTGGCTGTAGCTTCACGTTTAGTGCACAGCGACATGACAGTGATATTGATCTAATCATCTGACTCTCGGCAAGAGATGACCACGAGCCGGCCGAGCTGCAATCACCCACATCCCCTCCCCACTCCACTTCCCCTCTTCCACTGCATTACAGTTACTGTAGGAAAGTGTATGTATGTGATTGTATGCGGCCAGTGTTCTATAGCCAACGTCAGACAGTGTGGAGTGTACAGTTTGTGTGTGCTTGAACATATCACGCTTCTAGCTCTCTGCACTGTGTATACATGCACACATGCGTGCTTTTTGCGGGTGGGTGTGTAGACCTGGGTTAGACCGATATGTCACTTCAGAGATGGAGAGGTTATATCATGAAAATAATGCAGTTATGATGTAAACATGAACATGGTTACATTTAAAGACGCTGAATATAAACTACTGTATTTTCAGCTTCAGTTTAAAAATATTTATAACAGCCTTCCGAACCCGTATCGGTCCAACCCTGGTGTCGACATCGTCTTTTATAAACAAGTTGTTCTAGGATGTGGCACTGACTTCGTCTTACTCCTCTCTCCTCTACCCAGGCAGGAAGAACGGCGAGAACGACAAAAACTACGACACACTGGATCTGCCCAAGCGCTCGGAGCCCTCAAAAGGTAGGACTTTTCTGTCAAGAAAAACATCCCTCCGTTAACGCTTTCGCTCCTGAGGGAGAATGTAACAGTCTGGAAATAACTCGCCTTATTTAGATGTTATCCTGCAGGACGAGACAGACAGGAAACTAGTCAGATCTCGGACAGCAAGGCTGGTGAAGATGATTGGTTTGATTGGGGACAGGTCAGGTGTGTAGGGCAACAAAAGCGTGCGAGGCCTTTGACGGAGAGAGGCGGTCTGGCAATTTAGCTTTGTTTGATGGTTTTGTGCCTTCACTGTGACAGTCGATTGTTGGCGGCTTGTGAGAGCATTAACTCTGAAAGCAATCATTTTGTAAAATACAACAATGCACTGGGACACAAAAGGCAATAAAAAGCAGCCTCTTATTGTATTCTGAGCTCTATCAAGTTTGTAGCTAAATGGAATCCATTGTGTTATCTGTTGCATTGTACCGTGCTACAATTCATTGGTGACTGTTGGTTCTAGGAGTGGGCGATATGGACAGAATCTTCTGTCCCTGTATATGTCATTTTATAGTAAGATTGGAGCTGAAAATAATAAGTCACATTAATTTTGTTTCATTTGTGGGATAAATCTGCTTCTGTTTTGATAATCCATTAGTCACTTTTCAAGCATGAATGTCAGTCAATCATTTTCTGGTTATAGCTTTTCTGTTTGGATTTGATGATTCTCTGTTTTACATAATTGAAAATGTAATAGCTTTGTGTTTTAGACTGTTGATTCAGACAAAACAAGACATTTGACGTGTCTGACATTTCACATTCCAAATGATAACCCCCTCAAGAGCAAAATCTCATTTTTACAGCTAAGTTTTTGTACAGCCTAAACAAACAGGATATCTTGTGTTCATTTTAGAGGTGCTGGTAGCTGGAATTTTGTCCCCTTTGGACAGAGACAGTCTTTGTGCTAAGCAATGCTAACCATCTGCCGGCTTTAGCTTCCTATTTACCGTATAAACAAGAGTGAGGTCAATCTTCTCTGCTATGAGGCAAATCAGCATATTCCCAAAATCAAACACACAAAGGTGGATAGCAAGAGGTGTTTTGTTGTTGTTTGAAAAGGTGAATGCACTGGTGTTGGGTTGAAGGAACTGTGCTTTTCTTGACCAGAGAATAGTAACTGGCTACTCTCCTGTCCTGATTTATGTACTGGTATATTTTGGTACTGGTATTATATTATATACATATCTGCCATGTCTATAAATATTGTAGAATAACATGTGATCAGTGGTTTGAGAAGTACAGCTTAGTCCCCTGACTCTGCAACTGGTTCTATCAATAATGTGTGACTAAGTGTGAGTGAGTGTGTGTGTGTGTGTGTGTGTGTGTGTGTGTGTGTGTGTGTGTGTGTGTGTGTGTGTGTGTGTGTGTGTGTGTGTGTGTGTGTGTGTGTGTGTGTGTGTGTGTGTGTGTGTGTGTGTGTGTGTGTGTGTGTGTGTGTGTGTGTGTGTGTGTGTGTGTGTGTGTGTG